TGTATGTATATGGGGGAGGAGAGGACGGCGGCTCTGCGGGTCTCAAATATCGCAGTACCAGCGGGCGGCCAGGGGAGACCTGCCCTGAACAATAGCGCCCAGGAGCAGCTGGGCCTTGTGGACCAGGCGCTGGGGCCCGGCGCGCCCGCCGGCGCTGTCCCTCGTCCCTTAGCGGGAGCTGCCGCAGTTCTCCACACCTCAGCCGGCTGAGGCCCTCGGAGGACCGGCCGCTCGGATTTATTGTGCTCAAAACCAAGCCCGGGCCATTTTCCGCCACCGGAAATGTTCGGAAAGCGGCGGGAAACCGTGACTCCGTCGCTCCAGGCTTTCACTCGGCGCCTGAAGTTCGGGCGGCGGCCGACCTCGGTCCCCCGACCGGTGACGGGTTGTGAGCCACATAAATTAAGTCAATATTCGTATTGACCCTTGTCGCAGTGTCTTGGGCCGAGAAGGAGCCAGTGTGGCGCCGCAGCTCTGCAGCCAGCTCCCGGGCTCCCTTCCCTCCGTGGAGGCCGAGTTGGCGAAGCCACCGGCTTCTCTTGCTGCGGCCGGCTGGTTTGGTGGCGGGAAGAGCGCTGGCATCACGGCCACACTCACGCGCGCTCTCCACGTGTCCAGGACACCCGGGGCCTGTCCATCCCAGCCTCTCGAGGGCCTGGTGGCGCTGGTTCCGAGAAGAGTCTCGGGTGTGAAAGGGGCCGGGGCGCTGGCGGGGCTCGGGGAGGGGAGCAGTGGGCTCGGGGCCGGGCACGCCCCTCCCGCGCCCTGCTGGCCGCCCCACCCAGGCGGGTAGGCGCCCAGCCCTCAGGCCCTGGCGGACGGATCCCCAACTCTCCGCGCTCCTCTGCTCTTCCCCTGGTGTAGTACTGACTGCCCCGGCGCCGTGGGGTGGGGCGGTGGTCCGGGCCCGCCCCTCCGACCCCGCCCGGAGGGGGAGGTTCCCGGCCCGCCGGAGCTCAGCGCCCGCCTCCGCCTCCGAGCCGAGCGCTGCCGGGAAGCGGCTTGGCTTGCTGGGTTCCTGCTCCTGTCGGAAGATAATGCCTGAAGACTGATTTATGGACCTTCGGCGCTGCTGGCGAGCAAGCACCGCTGCTTTTCGGGACCAGGATGTTTAAGGAAACGTGTTTCTTCCCTGGCTGTAGCCGATTTAGAGCACCCGCAGTTTGTGCACCATCACCCACACTCGCTTTCCCTCTTCTAGGCACCCTCGCCTCTGGCTCCCTAGGTATTGATTAGGCTGGGCAGAAGAGGACATGCTAAATATCTAAGGTAGAATTGGGTTTTCTGAAATTCATAATCCCATTGGAGCTCTTGCCTCCTTTTCAAGACCTGGTACGGTGCTGCATGAATCATGCCCATGGGCCTTAGGACAGCTGGACCTGGGGGTTTATCCAGTAAGGGCCCCAGACCAGTTGCTCGGCCACACCCTTGCAGAGAGCCCTTGGAACAAATTCTGGACACATTTATGAGGCCCAAGGATTGATTTTTTTCCTTGTTCCTTTTTATTATTCACAAGACTGAGATTGTTTAAATGTCATAACTTATAAGAAAATAAACTACATTGAAATAAATTAAACACAACGGAGACGCGCTTCAGACATGGCTCAGATAGGATAAGCAACCCCAAGAAAGAAAGCCAGGCAAAGCAAAGCAAAGGAAAGGAAAGCAAAGCAAATTCCAGGCTGCCCAACACTCTCTGCTTTGCGGTCAACTCAAAAAGCCAGAATAGAAACAAAAATAAGTTTAAGCCCCAGTGTCGGTTCTTGTGTTTCATGTTTACCTTTGGAAAAGTATGGAAAGATGGCTGCTAAGCGCGGCAGGTTACAGCAGAGGGTTTGGTTTCTTCTGGAATGTGAATGGAGAATATTACTAGGTAATTTGGTCCTATAACTTTCAAAATACTGCAGCTGAGATCCAGTTTATATAGATATCTATGTACAAAGTAGGATAGTATAATAAATATTTAGTGTATCTTCAGGTGTGGCTGTAGCCCCTTCAAAAGCAGTCTTTTAAGCCTGTTTAATGGATATATTCTCGATTTGCTTGGGATGTCCACGTCTGGGAAGATTTTGAGTTTCGCTTCACACACAGTGGAGTCCACCATGGGTTCCCTCGGGTGCTGGGTCTTCTCCAAGGCTGCCAGCCGTGGCTGGGCCCTCAGGGTCGGGCCTGCTCCAGCTGCTGATGCTGACTTCTAATAGCGAATCTGCTGACATGGACAGGGATGGGGACGACAATCTTGGGGTTCCTGGAGGGCTCCCCCGTCTTGGAGTTAGCATTGCCCGCCTTCACCCGTTTCCACTTGGCTCGGCGGTTCTGGAACCAGATTTTCACCTGCACCTCGCTGAGTTTGAGGGCGTGGGCGATCTGCGAACGCTCCGTCAGGGAGAGGTACTTTTTGCAGTGGAACTCCTTCTCCAGCTCCAGCAGCTGCTCGCTGGTGAAGGCCGTCCGCCGCCGCCGGTTCTTGCCCGTGGACGTGGTGCTGCCTGCCGCACTGCCGCTTGGCGGGGTCTCCTCCAGTGCGTGGCCTGGGTCTTCCTCCTTGTGAGCGGCCTGGCCAGTCAGATTGTCATCCGAGCTGTAGTCCACATCGCTCTCCAGCGAGAAGCTCTCTTCCTTGCCCTTCGGGTCATCTTCCACCTTTGACTCGTCTTTCCCTTGCCCTCGGACAGCCCCGACTGAAAGCAAAACCAAACGGCGTTTTATTACATTTCGCACACTGGCCTTCCTTTCCCCTTCCCACCGTCACTTGGGCATCCCCCACCCCTTTGCGGATTGTCTTTCTATGACATTAACACATTGTGATTTCCTGGCCTTTGAGGAGTAGAGAAGGAGGGGGGAGCGTGAGAAAGCTCAAAGGAGAGGAGGAGACAGCATAGGCGACGGCCCTTTGCCCAGAACCATCACTCAAGGGGCCGCCAGCCTCCTGCACACACTCCCAGCCTCGGTCAGCTTAAGGAGAGTAGCAGGGCGCATGAGGCCCAAGAGAGGGTCCCAATTGTCAGGGGGGGGGGGAATCAGGGATGGATGAGGACTTGGGGGGGGTGGTTCACATCCATCCTGCCTCCACCCCCAGCACAGTGAAAATCTAGCGAATCTCAATTTCATCGCAGCTGGAGCCAGGGTGGAGGCTGGAGCAAAGCCAGACCTTGTCTTTTTTGAGACGATAGTAATGTTTGTCATAGGGATGTTTCATAGCCTTAGGAGAAGTTCCCACCAGACAGCTCAACACACACACACACACACACACACACACACACACACACACACACGTCTGTAGCCTACGCAATGTCATTT